GTCGTCGGCGTCGGCGTCGTCGTGGTGCTCGCGGCCGCACGCTGGCCACACAGGGAGGGGCGGTTGGTGGCCCGCCCACTCCGTCCAGTTGCAGGCCCGGAGATCTGAGCGTTGTAATTTTCACACCGGGCGTCTTCGCCATTTTTTGGGCCCCGTGGCCATCACAGATCGATCTGCCTCAAAAAATTGCGCAGAAAGATGGAGTCTGGTGCTCTGGTTGTAATTCTTCGCGGTGTTGCAGCTTTTCACAGCGTCGGATCTCAGGGATCAGCCCCTCGCTCGCGCCCCCTCCTGCCTGCCAGTGCCCCTCTCCTCCCAAGCAGACGAGGAGGTGGGTCAGTACATACCAAACCACGCAAACCCAACCCGAAGGCTCCAGACTGCCCCAACTTTCGGGTTGAGGGGTGTACGGATTCCGCTGTAGATTCCCGATGTTCCCGAATGACCCACTGCCCGCTGAAAGTGTACAGGCTCGTCGGCGACCTCGGGTCTGGTGGGGATGGCTTGGTAGGTAGTCAGGTGGAGACGAGGAGGGGAAGCAGGAGGAGCAGGAGGAGCAGGGTCAGGAGCAGGGTCAGGAGTATCGGGCGCACACATCACCAGTATGAATCTGGCATGGAATTTGCATGGAGAATTATGTTAGAAAAATTCCAACAGGCCTTCCGCGCCTGGCAGTCTAGGGTTGTTTGCACGACTCGATTTCGCAATCGCTTCCTATGTGGCTTTTAAATTAAAACCACCCAGGCGTTTTGTCCGAAAAGCGTTGTGCGTTTGCGTTCTCTTGGTTGAGGCGTGCGATGCCTCCTCTGTCTTCTCTCTGCGCTTCGTTTTTGTTGTTATGCTTGTCTCCTTTGGCCCGGTTCGCCGTGCCTCTAGCAATTTCGCGATCGCGGGGCCCTCGTGCTGCACCGTCAGATAATGCGACCTCGCGCGCGCGCGGGCTTGATCCGCTTCACCGCCCGCGCATCTCGCGCCCGACAACGGAGGCCATGCCTGGGCTTGTAGCCTTGGTCCGTAGGCGCAGTCGCGTTCAATCCATCTGTCTCGAATTCTGCATTGCAGACGGACCGTCGCCAACTGTCCCATGTGGACAGGGCGTTCACGCGCGCCCATCGTTGAAAACTCGCTCACTCACCGTTCGTACCGTGCCCTCATTACTGACGGGGCTATTATTCTGGCGTGGGCCAACGCGTCCGCCCTTTGCGTCGGGAGGGGCTCGCCCAATCACGCGTGGCCCCCCGTCTGGCTTCAACTGCGGCCGCGCCGCAGCGGCGTCACTCGCGCGTGTTCTGCTTGTTTGTTCGGTCCGTCATTGAAAAGTTTGCTCTTTATTGGGTGCCGTTTTGAGCTCCAAGTGGTGCTCGCACAGGGCCGCCCTCGCTGCCCTGGCGCGCCCGACACGTTTCGCACCTCGCAAACATCTTCGCACGCGCGGGTTCGCCTGCGGCTGGCTGACATGATCCGCGCTCCTTCTTGCTCATCCTACCCCCCATCTGGCCCTTACCTGCGCCCCCGCGTGCCCGTTCAAATGTGGCCCGCATGCCCAGTTCGGTTTGTTGGGTTCCTTATTGTTTTTGTTTGAGGTGTTGGGGACAGGCCAGGCGCGATGTTTCGTCATAACTATCCAGGCGAGGTTGGGTTGTACCATGTTGCTATTGGTAGTGTTGACCGTTGGGCTTGCCATGAAGTTCAGCGAGAGCGATCGCGGGCTGCTCTTGAGCGGTTCTCGGGTCGTTCAGGGGCTCGCCCAGGGCTGTCTTATGTTGTTCGGAGCCTTCTCGGGTTTGTAGTGTTTTCCCAGGCCGCCCCGGCGCGAATACCTTCGGAAGCAGCGTGCGGTGGATGCCACTCCTGGTTTATAGCAACTACTTCCGTCTCAGGATTTGCTTTTTAACAGCTCGACTCTTGGCACCGTTGCTCTTCTTTTGGGAAGCTATAGTCCGATTGCAGTTACCAGTCTTGTTCTCGACATCGATTTGGATTTCTGCGGGGGCTGGCTTGGGCACCTCCAGGGAGAAGGTTTGAAGGGGCTCGCGCCGAGGGAGTCGCATCAGGGGGAAAATGGGGATCGCATAACGGACCCCCCCAACACAAATCTCAGGCGTTTTGACGTGCCTTGACCCGCCGAGGGCGCGGTAGCGGATCCTATCCCATTAGCTGTCCGAGCGCGCGCAGTGTCTCGATTGGCGCTGCGGGGCATGTCGAACGCGCACTTCGCGCGTTAAAGAGGGCGAATCTTCACCAAACAGCGCTTGCATTTGGCCGTCGTTGTTTTCTTTCACGGAATTGTTGTCGCTTCGCGAATCCCCACCAGCCCATCCAGAAACGATGCCCAGAGGAATTGCCTCGATCAGAGAAGTGGGCAGCACACAGAGGAAGCCATTATGAGACATCTTGGGATATCTTGAGCCATCTTGGAGGTCATTTTGGGCTCTCCCAGACGCTCTTGGAGTCATCTTAATCCGTGCCCCCCCCCAAGAGGCCTCCATGTGGCTAAAACCTGTGTAGAATCAATGATTAGGCATTCTCGCCGAGGCCTCTTGGAGCATCTTGGGTGCATCTGGGGGGGCTCTTGGGGCCTCTTGGGGGTCTCTTGGGGGCCTCCGGGGGGCCTCTTGGGGGCCTCTTGGGGCCATTTTGGGGCCATCTTGGGACCTCTTGGGGCTTCCTGGGCGCTTCTTGGGGCCATCTTGGAGGAGATCGATCAAACAAGAGGGGGGGTTTAATTAGCGTCCCCCCTCGGAAGCCCCTAAAATCGCCTCTTGGACCCCTCTTGGAACGCTCTTGGAGTGCTCTTGGGCGCTCTTGGGGCCGTCTTGGGGCTCTTTTGGGGCTCTCTTGGGGCCCTCTTGGGCCATCTTGGAACCATCTCCAGGCCTCGGATGGCCATCGGAAGCGAAAAGGCGAGAAAGCAAAAATCATTGATTTTCCTTAGGTTTTGGGACGATTTTGGCCTCTTCGGGGCCTCCTTGGGGAGCTGTTTGGCCACTTGGAGTTATCTTGGGGCCGTCTTTGGGCTTCTTGGAACCATCTTAGGAGCCATCTCGAGCGATCTTGCGCTATCTTGAGCCATCTTGGAGCTCATCTTGGGTTCTCTGAGGCGCTCTTGGAGCCGTCTTGGGCCATCTGGGACGCTCTAACTACCCGCGGCCCCCCCCGTCCAGGTCCAGGGGAGGGGGTAGGGGGAGGGGTAAACCCCTCCCCAAGGGGGAAGAGGGAGGGGTGGAAGAGGATCTGCTCTAGACCACCTACGCCCAGAGGGCTGGTGGGACTGGGCGCGATTGCCAGTGCCGTCGCTTTGTGGGGGCCCCGCCGCCGCCAATCGCCGCTCGTCGCAGCTCTTCATTTGTCCTGATGGCCGGTTCCCTCGCCTTGTCGTGGCCTTGTCGTAGCTCTCGTCTGAGCCTGATGATTGGTTCCGCCGCCTTGTGGTGGCCCCGTCGCTGCTCGTCGCGTCCCATCGTTTCGGTTTGATTGCCAGTTCCGCCGCCTTGTGGTGGCCCCGTTGCACGTCGTCCCCGCGCGTCGTCGTCCTTAGTCTGCTTGACATAGAGTGCATCGCGTAGCTTGTTCAACGCAGGTTGCACTACGTAGATTGCACCACTCAGATGTTGCCACTTAGATTGTGCCACACGATTACGTCACATAGATTGCACTACGTGGTTTGCAGCACCTCGTTTGCTAGAACACATGGTACGTGGCGGAGCTTGCTAACATGTTGATTTCATTTTCCGCGTGTTGCCGCGTTCTTGGAGACGTTCCCGCACGCGCGACATGGCCTTGAACGCGCTCACGAAACGTAGGCACGCATATGATGGTGCATTCAGCGGGTCTAGCACTGGCAGGGGTGTGCGCGTGCGAGCATGGATCGCCCATGCGTGCTTATTTTGTAGTTGGGTCTTGCGAGTGCCACAGTGGTATTGCTTACTCTCGTGCGTGATGCGTGTCTTGGTCTTCGAGTCGTTACGTCATGAAGCGCACGCTCACTCAGCAACCCTTGGCAGTTATCTCCCCGAAGCCGTTCTGGCTGAAAGACATGGCGGCCATAGAGGATACCCTCGATAAGGCCGAGCGCGGGAGGAACCGAATTGAAACTTTTGCTAAGACTTCCCGCGCTCTTTCGAACCATGAGTATTGGGATCTTGCATCGGTCTGCGAGGTGGGCAAAGAGATGCTGCGGTGCAGTATCCGCTCCTTCGTCAGAGGGTGCGCTGACGCGCCAGTTCGTAGGACGACGCTGTCCGATGGAACCCCGATCACCGTATCTGCTAAGATCGCCCTGGAACTCCCCAACGGCCTCAAGGTTCGCCGAGGGGGCAAACAAACGCACGAGTTTCAAGTAGGCTGCAGTTTCTACCGTTCCTTCGACGACATGGGCCGCTCAACCACGAAGGTGATGTTCAGGGATCCGCTCCCTATGACTTGTGGCAAAACAGCTGCAGCTGAGTTTGCCATCGTTCAATCGAGCACTCTGTCTCTCCGTGGTGCTGGCCACCGCGGTCCTGTTGTTGAGCATTACGCATGGGATGGCAGGGCGTTCGGTGCTTTGACAAGACTTGCCAAGGCGTGGCATAACAAACAAATCTACGAGGGATCTGGGACGCACGACTCGGAAATGCTTTCTTTGCTAGAATTCGTAGTGACCACGAGATGCGCGTTGCACATCGTTAACAAGTCTTTGGAGTGGGCGATGCATTCTGAGTTTGCTAACAGAGATTTGCTTCGCGACGTTTTTGTATCCATCGAGTCAATTCGACAGTCATATGATTTGATCCTCCGGTACGCGGGGGATTGGGTCGAGTGCCGCTTGGAGTTGTGCGACGATCTCAGCAACGAGGAGATCGAGGCAAAAAAAATTCTGTGGAGGGCACTTGGCGTCGAGAGTGAACTCGCAGACTTACTTTCCGAAGTGCTGCATCTCCGATTCGCGCATGGGCGCCTTCGAGTGGCTCGGTCTGCGGCGCCAGCTGGCGATGTTGCTGCGGCGGTTCGGACTGCGTTGTTGGCAGCTTGGAGAATCTCTACATTCGCGGACTCGCGGTGGCTCACTGTAGGCAAGAGTTCGCAGGGGCTCGTGACTGGTCTCGTTAGCGGTCTTGGGGACCTCTTGGATTGGATACTCACCGAGACGAAGGCTAGCAAATACCACTTGGGCGGCTGGCGCCGCTTGTCGGAGGACGGCCGCATTTTTATAGTCATGTGTTCTTTGGTTGCTCGTGTGCCAGAGGGGGCGATGGTGGAACTGATGGAAGACGCCCGATTGATGCTCGTGCTCAACGATGTACAGGATGCCGTGACCGATGAGCTTCTTTGGCTCATCCATTCTCCGATGTCGTTGTGGAGTGACCTCGGCGATGTTTGCAATCTAGAACCCGAGGAACTTCGTCACCGAGTGCTTCGTTCAAGTATGGTTGCAAAAGCGTTCATGCATCACCAGCTCTTCAAAACTACTGACCGCTTACCGTTCTCTTTGGTGAAGGGAGACTTGAAGACGAACTTGCGGAACTTGAAAGCTTCGGATCAACCTGCAGAGCAGGTGGCCCAACAGTTATGGACATGCCTTCGCATGGGGGTTGCGGAACCGTTGCTGATCAAGGTGCTCCATCTCATCCGCGATCTGGAGTGGAGCACCATGCCAGCGGAACAGATGCACGCATCCGCAGCGGCGCTGATGCGCCACCATCCAGATTATGGCGTCGAGACTCTAATGAGCAGGGCCTTTTCGCACACTTTGAATCGGATACTAAGTCGCCCATCTGGCGATGAGAGGGCACTGGCCAAACAGCAGCAGAAACTTCGACGTCTCAGCCGCAAGAACCCTAGCAAGATATCTGCGCGGCACGTGCTTCTAGCTGAGCTGTCAGGGCTCGCCTCCTCGCGCGCCTACACGGCGGCTGCGCCTCGTCCGCCAGACATCTTCGGCAGGATCATGAAAAAGCATGTGGATATTTTCGACAGACAGTCTTCGGCCGAGAAAGAATATTATTCTAGGATGGCGTCGGTTCGGATTAGCCAGGGCACCAGCGCCATCGCAGAGGAAATGGGGGGGATCCGCGCCGACATTTCTATCAAGAAAGCGCGCCTGGAGGCGGCGTCTGAAACGACCAAGCCTGCTGTGATGTCGGAGGCCCCGCTCGGCACGCGGGACTTGGATACTTTCGAGATGCTCTGGGGCAGTGGCAGTTTTAGCAGGTCGGCCGTCCAGGCCATGCGATCTGCAGCCCGGCAGCCTCCTGGGCCCATGCAGACCTCAGAGCTGGCGGAACTGCGAGAATGGGTGGTGTGGGAGCAGCCCACCAAGGTGCATTTGCCTTGGTTGGGGCTGGCGTGCCAGCAGAGGGCGTACTTTCCCTCGACCGCTTTCCTGATCCGAGACAAGGTGCTCCGGGCAAAAACCACCTAGCTGTAGCGGCTCCGATGGGGGTCATCTCAACAACCGCCTGCCTCTGCGTCGGTATCGGTGCCATCGTGTTGGTACGTGTCACGCCCTTGATGGGCGTCGTAGGGCTCCGTGGGGCTCCGTAGGGCTCTCGCCCCTTCTGACCCCCGTAGGGGTCCGTGGGACTCCCACCCCCCCTGCTTCGTAGGGCTCTGTCGGGCTCAGTGCGGCCCCAGGGCCCCGTAGGGCTCCGTAGGGCTCCGTAGGGCCCCCCACGGCTCCGTAGGGCTCAAGGGCCCCGTAGGGTTCCGTCGGGCCTTGTAGGGCTCCGAAGGGTTTCGTTGGTTTCCGTGGGGCGCCGCAGGGATCCGCCCAGCTCCACTGGGCCCCGTTGGGCGCCGCGGGGGTTCGCGCGTCTCCGGAAAGCTTCCGGGGGGGATCTCGCGAGCCCCGTCGGGCCGCGCATGGCTGCGAGAAAATCCCTGGGGGGCCCCGCCGACTCCCCGCAAACGACCCGAGAAAACGCAGCGAAGGCACAAGGCCTCCATATAACTTCAACGTTACTTTGCGTTTCGCCATAAGGCTTGGATGTTCCAGTACGCGACCCAGAGCCCGCAGTTCATGTCCGTGAGTCCTTTGACCAGCGTGGCAGCGTACGCTCCTACTGGGGACCCATCCGACGAACGCTGGGGCGGCGCTCATTTAGAGTGCCCCCGTTATCGGTACAGCTTCACGTTGGAGCACGACGAAAACGCAGATGACGTCCTGTGTTGCGACATCAAGGAAGTGCGTGTTCTGGAGGGTTTGAAGTACGTGGGCAGTTTCTTCGAGACCTTCCTCGAACCTGTGCCTCTCGAGGAATTCTTGGACTCCCTCCCACCACCTGTGAGAAACGTAGCTGGTGGTGATTCAAGCTCGGCTCACCAGCAGCACAGGGAAATCCTAGTTCGCGAGCGCCCTTGGCTTGCCAAAGTGTGGGCGAAGATGGATGGCCCCGCAGCTCCCCGTGCTGACCCGCCAGCCGGCGACGACATCGCCGACGGTGAAGAGGACGCCTTCAGCGATGGCGATATGGATGATGCAGAGGTGCATCATCTCTATGACGAATTGGAGCGGCGACGCCAGGAGTTGGTGGCCGCGGGCGGCGACCTCCCTCCAGGCGACGACTTCAAAGTCGGTTTGCTTGGAGGTGCCTGGACCGTGGCGAACAAGGGAGTAGTTGCTGACGCCGTGCAGGGACGCGCGGCCAATGCGCCCGCTGTCCAGTTCTGCGCTCGCCACGGAGTCTCGAAGACGTCGAGGTACGAGATCTCGACGTATATGGTGGCCTCCGGCCGCTTCCGTTACGGCGGCTGGCTCGTGGGCCAGTCGCTTCCACGGCGCGGGGTCTTTCGGGGGCCGTCTTGGGGCCCCAGGGGCAGCTTCGGGAGCTGAGCGAAGGCCCCGGGGGATCTGGCGAGGGTTCCGAGATAGCCCTCGTAGCGGGCGACGCGCGCGCGTCACCCGTTACGGCTCTCGCCCTCTATTTTTCTTCGTCTTTGGCTTGTCTCGGGGCCTCGTTGGGCACTTCGGGAACCGTCTCGGGGTTCCGCGGGCGATCTCAGGAACATTGAGAAGGCGCCGTGACGACTCAAACCCGCCATTTGAATTCACGAACACTAGGGCCCATGAGGCGCCAGGAGGGCCTCAAGAGAGGCGAGCCACCCGGCATTTTGATTATCGGTCAAAACGCCGGGTGCGGGGGCCCCTTGGAAGCCCCACTGCGGCTTTCTCGGGAAGTCTTAGGGCTCTATGAGACGTTCGTAGGTCGTCTTGGGGCATCCAAAGGGGCTCTTACAGGACCCCAGGAGGGGCCCAGCAACCCCGCGAAGGCTCCAAAAGGGCTCCAACAGGGGCCCAACGAGGCCCAAGGTCGGTCACGCGAGCCTTCCCTCTCGCGACGGATCGCGGGGCCCTTTTGCGGCCCCGGCCCAAGGGCATCTTGGGTATGCCCTGCCAAAGCGGATGCGAAAAGGGTGCGATGTTTGTTGGTTGGTGGATTCATTGGATAAGCTTCGCTTCGTTACCCAGGGAGATCAACTGAAGGTCCCGCTGGCGGAGGTCGCGTGCGTCCAGGACGGCTGGGGACGCGGCGCTGGCGCCTTTGGCGCAGCGGCGGACACTGAGCGCCACGCTTCCGCGCTGGCCCGCGCGTGGTGCCATCGGCTCCAGTTTTTTTTCGAGCTGGAGGGTTGTCGCGGGGGCGCGGGGTACGCTTTCACCCCTGGGGACCGACAGTCTTACATCGAGACGCCTGAGTTTCAGCGATGCGCCGCTGATTTGGCCAACCACGCCAAGGGGCGGGCGAGGGTGGACGCCATTCGGCGCGTGTTCGCCTGAGAACTGGAGACAGCAGCCGCGGGGTGGCATGAACAAAAATGTCCAGGGGTGGCCAAGGTGGCGTGGCGAACACGAAAATAGATGCATGACAAAACTGCGGCGCAAATTTGTCACCCATCATTACTGAATGATTTTAGTTATGCGAATGTGTCATGCCATTTTCAAGCCGATTTCACACCACATTCACGCCGGTATTCATGCCACTATCCATGCCGCACGTCGCGCCGCCTGTGATTGGGGGGGCTGTCGTTCCGACGGATCCACCTCTGGGGTTCAGGGGCGGTTCGCCTCGCAGCTGGAGGGGTCCGACGAGGGGGGGGGAGAGGAGGAGGAGGGGGCGGACCGAAGGAGCAGGAAGAAGGAGCAGGGAGTGAAGGAGGAAGATAAAAGGAAGGGCAGGAGCAGGAGGTGAAGAACGAGGAGAATGGAGAGAAGGAGGAGGACGATACCAACCATACATACGAGGAAACGCTAGTCAGGCCAGGCGGAGGTGGCTAGATCAGACCAAAGAGATCGATTGGTGGTCACAACATGCAAGCCGACTTGACTGACCAGACCAGTCAGACCAATCATATTAGGTGGAGCAACAATGCCGGCCATAACCAGTTACATCAGCTGGACCAGTCAGCCAGTCCAACCAGACCAGCGAGATCAGCCAGACCAACTAGCCAACCAGACCAGACTAGCCAGACCAGACCATATCATCCAGACGAGCCAATCAACCAGACCAGACCAACCAGACCAGCCAGACCAGCCAGACCAGAGCAGCCAGACCGAGTTGCCCAGACCAGCCAGACCAGCCAGACCAGACCAGCCAGACAAGCCAGACCAGACCAGCCAACCAGACGAGCCAGATCAGCCAGACCAACGAGCCAACCAGACCAGACCAGCTAGACCAACCAGACCAGATCAACCAGACGAACCAGACGAGCCAATGAAGCACACAAGACCAGACCAGACCAACCAGACCAGCCAACCAGACAATCCAGACCAGCCAGACGAAGTGACCAACCAGACCAGCCGGACCAGACCAGCCAGACCAGACCAGCCAGACCAGACCAGCCAGACCAACCAGACCAGCCAGACCAGACCAGCCAGATCAGACCCGCCAGACCAGCCAGACCAGACCATTATGTGCGCAAAGTCAGAGCCTCAATTTAATCATAAACGTCGCGCGGATCTTGGCATAATCCACCGGTGATCGTTCCCGCAGTCCGGTGCTGCTGCTCAGTGCGTCGGCCATGCTCCTCTCACGTTTTTTTTTATCATCGTCCTCCGTCGGCAGCCAGCGTCATTCTTCAGTCTTGTTATTTGTCAGCACTCTCCCTCTGGCTGGGTGTGGGAGTCGACTGTTACGCGTGCGGGGCCCGCGCGCACTTGGGTGGCCACTGGAGCCCCCAGAGGGCACCAAAAAGGGCCCACCGAGCCCCCAGAGGGCACCAAAAAGGGGCCCAAGAGATATTCAGATGGCCATGTCGATCTGAATATCTTTTTCGGCCGTCTTGGAGCCCTCTGGGGGCCCGTTTGGAGCCACTTGGCGGCCCTCTTGGGGCGCTCCTGGAGCCTCTTGGGAGGGCCCACCGCGCCCACGGAGGGCCCCAAAAAGAGGCCCAGAGATATTCAGATGGCCATGGCCATCTGAATATCTTTTTCGGCCGTCTTGGAGCCCTCTGAGGGCCCGCTTGGGGCCACTTGGCGGCCCTCTTGGGGCGTTCCTGGAGCCTCTTGGGAGGGCCCACCGCGCCCCCTGAGGGCCCCAAAACGGGGCCCAAGAGATATTCAGATGGCCGTGGCCATCTGAATATCTTTTTTCGGCCGTCTTGGAGCCCTCTGGGGGCCCCCTTGGAGCCACTTGGCGGTCTCGGGGCTCAGCTTTAGGGGAAGGGCTCGAAAAGTGTCGGTTCGGGATCCTCTTAAAAGCCCCTGATGGCGCCCTCCTGGGGCATGCTGGCCCTGTGTTTTCCCGACGGCCGCAGGTTGGACGGGCCGCATAGGACACTTACTGGAACACACAAAGCCGCGGACGCAGCACAAAAAGCACAAAAAAACACAAAAATGATTAAATTAAGGCTCTGACTTTGCACACATAAAGACCAGCCACACCAGACCAACCAGACCAGACCAGACCAGACCAGATCAGCCAGACCAGACAGACCAGACCAGCCTGAAACTTTGTCTGAAACTAGACCAGCCAGACGAAGTGACCAACCAGACCAGCCGGACCAGACCAGCCAGACCAGACCAGCCAGACCAGACCAGCCAGACCAACCAGACCAGCCAGACCAGACCAGCCAGATCAGACCAGCCAGACCAGCCAGACCAGACCAGCCACACCAGACCAGCCAGACCAGACCAGCCAGACCCAGACCAGCCAGACCAACCAGACCAGCCAGACCAGACCAGCCAGATCAGACCAGCCAGACCAGCCAGACCAGACCAGCCACACCAGACCAACCAGACCAGACCAGCCAGACCAGACCAGCCACACCAGACCAGCCAGACCAACCAGACCAGCCAGACCAGACCAGCCAGATCAGACCAGCCAGACCAGCCAGACCAGACCAGCCACACCAGACCAACCAGACCAGACCAGACCAGACCAGATCAGCCAGACCAGACCAGACCAGACCAGACCGGTCTTCATCAAGTCTGAAACTTTTCTGAGATTTTGGAGGTGCCCTTAGGGGCCTCGTAAGGCCCTCGAAGGGCTCCCGCAAGGCCCCAAGAAGGTTCGGCAGGGCCCCAAGAAGGCTCCAAGAAGGCCCCAAGAGGGCCCCAAAAATCACAGAAAAATCTCTGGGCTGCTTTGCATCATTTTTACTTTGAGTTTTTATCCCAGACCTGTCCGTATGAGAGGCTCTGGAGCAGCAGGTGCTGCAGTGCGGGAGTGGTGTTCGCGGTATACTTCGCAGACCCGTTTTGCCATGGCTTCGAAACGCAGGGCCTCCGACGGCCCGAGTGGGGCTCGGAAGCGAGTATACACGGAGGATCAGATTGCCCAGAAGGCCATTGCGGATAACTTCAAGGGCTGGGACCACGAGGCTTGCTACGTGAGGCTCCGCGGGGATGCACCACTGACCCTTTTCGAGCGCATCAAGCAAGACAAAAAGGACAAGACGGTGACCATGGGGCAGCTTTATTATGACAGCCTCCGTCGGTTGTATCGTTCTGAGCAGGACCCGATGGTAGCTTTGAAGGCGCGGGACAAGTCAGAACAGATCTCCCCGGACCTCTTCAAAGCGTTCGTGGCGGCGAACGAACAGCGTCCCGATCGGTCATTGTTGGTAGCATATCTTACCAGTTGCGCCACTGCCCCGAACAATCGTGAGTTCGTGGGGGTTGCCAAAATTCTTTTGTCGTTGAAGGTCGGCTGTCAGAAACAGTACAATGTTGCCTTGGACATCTTGAAGTGGACCCTGGGCATAGAACGGCCCTGCCTACCCGACGCTGCCTTTGCTGCGCTGTCCCTTCTTGAGTGCGCGTGCTGCTGCTGCTGCCCAGGGCGATGAGGGGGCGGCATGTGCCCTGGCCAGTTTTTTTCGTCCGCATGGAAGCGCCCCGTTCCCCAGGGGGAACCGCATTTTTGTCGGCCCCCCAGGTGGATGGCCCGTTTCGAGGCGCACAAGAAGTGGACTTCGGAATGGGGGTCGGTTTCAGAAAAGGTGGACAGCGTCTTAGAGAAACTATGGAAGAGCTCAGCAAAAATGACACTGTGCCCGTTCGTGAAACTGCATGCGAAGATCCTTTCGCTCAAGATGGACCCGGCGGACATCCAGGCGGTCGCCGGGTGCGACTCCGAGAAGCTCAGCCAGGTGAAGGACTCGCTCTGCAGGCTCGTCACCCATGGCAACGTTGGCCTGCTGATGTTCGGCGCGGAAGTCGGCAAGAGCACCTCGCATGCCGTCCGGCTCGCGATCGAGAAGGTCATCCGCGAGTTCAACGTCCAGGGGAACGTCTTCAACTCCGAGACGGTGGCGGCTACTAAGGCCAAAGCGTTGGCTGCCGTGGGCGCGGTGGCCAACTTGAACCTGATGCCGCGGCATCGCCAGGCGGAGGGGCGCTATCGAGGTCAAGCGATGAAGGCCCCCGTGGCCTCCATCGAGGCGGAGGTCTCGTGGCGCATAAGCTTGGCGTGGAAGGGCCTCGGGGTCCAGCAGAACGTCTTGAACAAAGTGTGGTTCGAGGAACGTTGGCGGCCTTCCAGGGGCGTTTGAGGGGGCTGGTTGGCGCTCGCCCTTTCTTTCAGGGATTTGGCCCCACCCACTTTCCCGCCTCGTGATTGGTGAGCGCCTCCTGGATCTCCCGCGGACTTCCTTGGGCAGGACCTTGTCGTCCCAGAGGGTGCGAAGCAGGGTGGGGGCGCCACGGTGGACCCAGAGTTGGCGGATGCCCCCAACGTCGCGAGGGCCTTGATGAAGGACGTTGTCGAGGATTCGGGCGTTGACACTGGAGATGAGATCGTCCGGGCAGTCTCCAACAACGCGGCCCGCCTCATCATGCAGGATCGGGAGGCGCAGGTGGAGATTTCCTTGGTTGACCTCCTGGGCGGATCCACGAGCGTGCTGCGCGTGAAGACCCACATTCTGCAGTGCATGCCTGATGCTACCGCGGTCGTGGAGAGAGAGGCCACCCTGCATCGACTCACGCAGTTGGCTCGCAAGGATGTGAACAAGTACGCCTCCATTACAGCGAAGGCCAAGCTGGAAACCGCCATCAAGATCATGGGTCGGATCGTGGATGGTGTGTGCCCCGATTTGGACGCTGTGAAGCAGTGCCCTGTCTTGAAGGACTTTTACGACCGCTTGCAGTTCTTCGTGCGCCACGTGCCGCCTGAAGGCGCCGCGGCTCCCTCGGCCCCCGCGGTCGGCACGGCGGCGATCAGGGCGCGGCTCGCCGACGCCGCCCAGAAGCACGCTTCAGGCGTCGCCACCCGCGCAGACATTGAGGACCTCAAGGTTTCCGCCCATTTGATTCCTGAGGACATTTCCGCGCATGTAGCCGATCTCATCAAACGGGTCGAGGCGGCCGACCTTCCTTCGGCCGTGAAGGGCAAGAAGCCAGGCAAGAAGGCCCTGACATCGTCCCAAAGTGGCGCGGCGGCCAGCGCAGCTGCGAAGGCAGCAACTTTTTTCGATTAGGGTGTCCCTGCACTCGCATGTCTAGGGCGGGGGGTCGCCCCAGCGGGCCGTCGGTCATCATCATCTGGAGCATTGGTCATGTCATCGCAAGGTCATCAATGGGTGTTCTTGGGTGGTTGGCGCCGCTTCCGACTGGAGTGTGGTTCGGGGCGCTGCGATAGAACCGCAGCGCGATTTTTAAATTCAGTGCCAGCGAGGGTAGGTGGCACGACCCATCATGCAGGTGGGCTTTCTCTGGACGAGTCAAGGGCCGCTTGGCGGCTCAAGCTGCTGGCAGATGCCCTAGGGGAGACTTGCGCGATTGCTTCCTTTTCGATTTCTTCGGGGTGCGAGCCTGAGCGAGGTGAGCGAAGACCCGCTCAGGATATGCTCGTGCGCTTGGCGGGGAGTCGGGCGCGATCGATGGGGCGCGTTTCCTAGAAAACTTCCAGGTATCGCCGCCTTCTCCCTCGCACTGCGCCTGCTCGCGATGTCGCCGTGGCTTTCTTATTCTGCAGGCGTGCTTCCAGTTCCCTCGCTTCTTGGTCGATCTCTGCCATCTTATTATTGTCTTGTCGTGCGTCCGCGCTGGCATGTCCAAACATTCACCGTGCGAGTTGTTCGATCATCCGGGGGGGGGGCAGCGAGAGTGGAGAGATGAGAGGGAGGGGGGGGTCATACATTGAACAAGTCGAGTATAGGGTTGGAAATTTACGAACAGCGGCCATCTGCGAAACTTGTTGTGCGCTTGTAGTGCTGTCGGTTGTATCAAAGGCCGTCTTGGGGTCCTCTCGGGACCTTTGGTGCCCTGTCGTGGCCCTCTCGTGGCCTTTGGAGCCCTCCGGTAGTTCCCAAAGGACGTCCAGACGGCTTCAAGGGGAACCGAGTACTTTTGACGAGCAGGGCCCTTTCTCGTGGCAGGTGGTCGGGTCCTCCCGAGGCTTCTGGAGACCCACCCAGGGCCCTCGAAGGTTGCTCGCGGCCCCTGGGAGCGGCCTCAGAAAGCTTCAAGAGGACTCCCAGGGTGGCCAAAAAGCTCCAAGACAGTCCGGAGACGCGCTTTCAACCGTGAGGGAGTGCCATTAACAAACACGTTTCTATAGCATCGCCCGCGCGGCCGTGCGAGCATTCAGGAGACGCCCAAAGATGGCCCCATTCGCCTCCGCGATAGCCCAGCATGGTCCAATATGGCAACATGATGGCCCAAGTAGGATCCAAAGGGCGTGCCAAGAACGTAGTCGCGAATCCCCAGGAAACCGAATTTGCCTCGAGAGGGTTGCTTGGAGGTTTTCGGGGCCCAACACAAGCTTTCGGCGGAGGCAAGCATCGCGCGAGCCATCCCCTGGTAGAGCATCCAAGACAGTTATTTCTGATGCTCCGCCTGGGAGCCTCGACGGGGGCGCCAGGGAGGCTCCAAGAGAGCGGTATGGGAAGTCCAACAAACCCTTCAGAGCTGGAAGGATCGCTCGAACAAGGTTCCAGGAAAGACCCGAACGCGTTCCAAGAGGGCCCCGAGGCAAACCCTGGGTGCCGCGTCGAGTGTGTAGGGCTCTGTTGTGCTCTGTAGGGCGACGTGGGGATCCCAAAAGGCTCCGCAGGCTCTCCCAGGGTTCCGCTGGTTTCCGCGATCCCCGTTGTATTCTCTAGGATTTGTGATTCTCGTAGGGCGCCGTAGGGCGCTGTGCGGTGCCGTGGGGCATCTCAGGGACCCAAGGGCAGCCGTCGGGTTCCGTTGGGCTCCTTTCTTTTCTCCTGATGGGGACCCTCAGTGCTGGGGGGCGGGGGGGTGGGGGTCGCGCGGCGCCCTCCAGAGCAGCTTGCGACGCTGCGCGTTCCTCGGCGGCCTTTCGAGCGGACAGTGGCACCGCAAGGCGTTGCAGAGGACGGCCGACGGGGTCGCTCTTTTCTCCTTTGCCGTTTCTTCGTTGCCCATGTCGTCCATCTTGGATCTCCTCGCCCGTATCGCTCTTCCGCCGTTCAGCCGGTCGTCCGCGCCCTCTTTCCATTTCCTGTTCTTCTGGGTCCCAAGCTTTCCCGCGCCCTCCAGCGCCCTCCCGCCCCCCCTCGTCCTTTCCTTTCCCGCCCTCTTGCCGCTGCCCCGTCGCAGTCCCCGTTCCCACCTTCTTGCCAATGCCCCTGGTGCTTTCCACTTCTCCTTGGCGCCATGCCGCTCTCCCTCCCCCCCTGGCTCGCGCCCCCGCCCTCCTCCGTGGCAATTTTGGCTCGAGCCCATTATATTTGCGAGGTGCCTTTGTCTCGCCCGAGCGGGCGCATATATCCCCCAACAAGGCGGGGGAGGGGTCGTCTGGCGCGACTCGCGTTTCAGCTAGGTCCGAAGTCGAAGTAGAGCGAGGGCCTCGGTTGATCATAAGCTCGGGAGCGACTCGGGCCAGCGCAGTCAATGAGACCCGCGCAACCAGGCCGATCCAATCGCTGCAACATTTGGGGAGAGCGCCACCGCCGAACAACGACAACGCCCGCCGTCAACGACGGTGCTACACAACACAGCGCCGAGTGGCAAATCACCGCTCAACCAAATAGTGCCGTTCAATGCAGTGGACGCCTCGACATGATCATAAAAACCAGCAGGCCATACTACGCAACAGGATGGGCACACATACTGCGATGGGGCCAAACCGGGCTACACGCTCGAATTGAATTTGTTGGCAGACACGAGTGACGATACAGTGTCGTGACTCCAGCCGCTGAGGCGACTCCACAAAGCAACCGCCCTTCCATGCAACCGCCATGAAAGCGGTGGATGGCAACTGCAGCAGCATGGCAAGGCGAGGGCGCGAGCACAACGATGCAATCCACAACCGCACGATACACGTCAGGGGCAACCGTCGCAGCGGGGTACCTTGTTGAACTTCGCACGTGGGGCGCTGGTGGCCTTCGTCTAGAGCTGCCGGGTGCAAGGCGAAAGCGAAAAAACATGATTGCCGCAGCCTTGGTATTGCACAGAATTGCACAATGCTGGCCCGCAGGACCCCGTGATTTTCGCGAGGCGCAGTTGGGCTTGAGGCGCGGCCTCGTCCAGGCGTGGTCATCCTGTCAGGCCCCACATTAAATGCGCTGATTGAGGTGGCATTCCAAGTTGCCTGGGCGCGTTATTTGTTGTGCCAAGGACACCGCCTTGGCGATCTGGCTTCAGCTTGCATCCCGTAACCGTCAGAATTCCTATTGCGGGCGCTTGAGCCATAACATCTCCTACTCGACATAGCCGTCGGGCCAGCCAGCGCCCCTCGAAATGGATTCGTAAGACGTTTTTTTCTTCACACGCCTCTTCTGCGGGTTCGTGGGGGACGAGGAGTAGGAGTAGGAGCAGGGGGAGGAGGAGGAGGAGGAGGAGGAGGAGGATGAGGAGGAGGAGGAAGGAGGAGGAGAGGAGGAGGAGGGTGAGGAGAGGAGGTGGAGGAGGAGGGAGGAGGACGAGGAGGAGGATGAGGATGAGGAGGGAGGAGGAGGGAGAGGAGGAGGAGGAGAGGAGAAGGAGGAGGAGGAGGAGGGAGGGAGGGTCAGGAGTAGGAGTAGAGAGGGAGGGGGAGGAGGAGGAGGAGGAGGAGGAGGAGGAGGAGGAGGGAGGGAGGAGGAGAGGAGAGGAGGAGGGGGAGGAGGAGGAGGAGGAGGAGGAGAGGAGGAGGAGGAGGAGGAGGAGGAGGAGGAGGAGGAATAAGAAGAATAATAATAATAAGAAGAAGACGAAGAAGAATAAGAAGAATAATAAGAATAATAATAATAATAAGAATAAGAATAATAAGAAGAAGAATAATAATACTAAGAAGAATAAGAAGACTAATAAGAAGAACACTAAGAACAAGAAGACGAATAATAATAATAAGAAGAATAATAATACTAATACGAATAATAATAATAATAATAACAATAATAATAAGAATAATAATAAGGATACTAAGAATAATAAAAATAATCATAAGAATAAGAAGAATAAGAAGAATAAGAAGAATAATAATAAGAAGAAGAATAATAAGAAGAATAAAAAGAATAAGAATAATAATAATAATAATAAGAAGAAGAAGAAGAGGAGGAGGAGGAGGAGGAGGAGGAGGAGGACCCTCTCCGCACGCCCGTGCCCTGCATCACGCCCGTTTCCGCCCCTCGCCCACGCCCTCCCCCTCAGGGGCAACGTTAGGGTGGGGCAGCCTCAGCCGGGGTTCGAGGTTCGAGGTGTTCGGGCGTTGTCGTCCGTCCGCGGCAGGTTTGGCGGAAGGGGGCCTTCTTCTGGGGCCCCGTGTCACGGGTTTAGGCCGTCTGGGAGGCACAGGGCCGTCTCGGGGGTCTGTTGGGAGCTTCTTGGGCTGTCTTGGGCGCTCCCCCCTGGCGCCTCGGAGGCCTCGGAAGGACTCCAGGGAAGTGTCGGTTGTGTGGACAATGAGAGAGAGAGAAAGAGAGAGAGAGAGAGAGATACATGCTTATATGCACACATATATATATAGAGAGAGAGAGAGAGAGAGAGAGAGCGAGAGACAGAGAGAGAGAGAGAGAGAGTGGTGGCCGCATGACTCGCCTCGTTTTGGAGAGTCGCAGAGGCCAAACCTAAAAGCTGACCGAGCACATGTAGTGTTATGTTGTTGTTCGATTGCTGGCTTCCTCAGCCGTCGGGACGATAAACTGAAGCCTTTGTTCCATGCGGGACACCGAGAATAGGGACGTCGAGGAGGAGCCGTGGGCTAGGGCCACCAGTCGCCTTGAGGGCTGGCGGGATTCGCCACGCCTGCTCTCGCATGAAGCCCTGATCCAGTGATCCGTGAGGTGGAAGACGTGTGCCCAGACCCCGACGTCGTGCTTTTTTTCACAACGTCGACCCCCGGAGGTCTGGACCTCTTCCCCCAGACCGGTTTGTCATCCCCCTTCGTGGACCCCTGTTGGGCCATCTTGGAGCGATGTTGAGGCCTCGGATGGGCATCGGAAGCGCAGAAACGATAACGCCAAAAGCATTGATGTTCCTTATGGTTTTGAAGCATTTTGCCCTGGTCGGGGCGTCACTGGGGAGCTCTTTTGGCCACTTAGACCCGTCTTGGAGCGGTCTTGGAGTGTCTTGGAGCATCTCCGGAGCCATATCGAGACATCTCGCGCTATCTTGAGCCATTTTCGACGCTATCTTGGGCTGTTCTGAGGCCCTCATGGAGCCATCTTGGGCCATCTTGGACGCTCTAACTACCCGCGCCCCCCCCCGTCTCCGCCGCCGCCACCGCCGCCTCCGCCGCCTCCGCCGCCGCCGCCGCTGCCGCCGCCACCGCCGCCGCCGCAGCCGCTGCCGCTACCGCCACCGCCGCCGCCGCCACCGCCGCCACCGCCGCCGCCGCCGCCGCCGCCGCAGCCTGCAGCCGCCGCCGCCGCAGCAGCCGCCGCAGCCGCCGCCGCCTCCTCTGCCAAGTGTACTCTGCATTGTTTTTTGACAGGGATGGTGGTGGGGGGGGGGGGGGCGCATCGGGGCTGTGCATGTTCCGAATTTGGAGGCAGAGTGTGTTTTGTTTGGTTTTTTACAAGGGATTGTGGGGGGGTGTCGTCATGGTCCCTGGTTGGCCCCCAGTCGCCTGGGGGAGGGGGTGTTTATTAATAGGGAACAGTGATAAACCCTTCCCCGAAGGGGAAGAGGGAGGGGTGGAAGAGGAAACGCCCTAAACCACCGACGCCCAGAGGGCTGGTGGGATTCATGCTGGCCCAGGCCAGGTCCCGCCCTTGCATGCCGCAGCATGGGTTTGATTTTGGCATGAGTTTAACGCCAGGCCAGGGAAAGCGCAGTTTATCAATATTAAGAGCCAGCGATGTAATAAGGCTACTGATGAGGCAGCTTAGAAGGGAGCTGCCCTTGCCCAGCTTCCCCATGAATCCCTAGCCTAGGTTGCCCGCACCGATTCCCCGGCCAAGAAGGTCCTGGAACACTTGCATGATGTAGGTATGGCGGAGGTCCTGGCCAGGCAGGCTGACGCAAAAGCCCCAGGAGCCCCGACCCCAGCCGATTTCGTCGCCGCCCGCAGAGAGCGGCGTGATGTCCGAATTGCTGCGCGGATGGGCGCCCGCCAAGCTACCACCCACCAGGTGGTTCCACGGCGAGGCTTTTTGTTGTTGTTCTGTATGCCTGACGGCACCGACCCGCCAGTTGCCCACCAACGAGTGGCTGGCGGCCCCGTGTAGAGGCCTCCCCCATCAGGTTCACAGTTCCCACCGGACTCGGTGCCTGCGCGGGCTGTGGTGGTGCGAAGTGTGTGGTGGTTCGGGGCACACTCGCTTCGATAGCTTGGGGAAGGAATGCCAGCGCCCAACAGCTGCTGGCAAGAAAGCGCTGGATAGGCTCGCCAGAGGATTCCTCCCGCCCAATCGGGGTGCCTGGCCAGACGAGTCAAGGCCGATTCCGGTATGAGCCATCCAGCCCCGTCTGTCAAGGGCCTTGGCATCTGTAGCAGACCCAGGCCCTCGCGTAGTCTTGCCCAGGAGGAGGAGGTGGAGGTGGAGGAGGAGGAGGAGGAGGAGGAGGAGGGGGAGGAGGAGGAGGAAGAGGAGGGGGAGGGGAGGAGGAGGAGGAGGAGGAGGAGGAGGAGAGGAGGAGGAGGAGGAGAGGAGAGGAGGAGGAAAAGAAAGGAGGCGGAGGGATGATGAGGAGGAATCTCTGCATGGCCGAACCCGGCCGTGGCCAGAAGCGCCCTGTCGTTCCTCAGCCTGGCGCCCCTCATGGCCGCATGGTGCCTGCAGTCCGCTCGGCGTCTATCTGGTGCTGGCCACTCTCCGGCCTGCTCTGCCCCCCCCCCCCTCCCTCCTCCTCCCCTCCCCCCCCCCCCCCCCCCCCCCCCCCGCCCTTCCCCCCTCCCCCCTCCTTACCCTCCTCCTCCTCCTCCTCCTCCTCCTCCTCCTCCTCCTCCTCCTCCTCCTCCCCCCTCCTCCTCCATCCTCCTCCTCCTCTTCCTCCTTAACCTCCTCCTCCTCCTCCTCCTCCTCCTCCTCCTCCTCCTCTCCTCCGCCTCCTCCTCCTTCCTCCTCCCCTCCTCCCTCTGTCCTCCCTCCCTCCCTCCTCCCTCCTCCTCCTCCTCCTCCTCCTCCTCCTCCTCCTCCTCCTCCTCCTCCTCCTCCTCCTCCTCCTCCTCCTCAAAGCCCGGTGCTCCCTTCCAGGGCCTGTGCAAGATCAGCTGGAGCAGCTCGACTCCATCTTCGGCGCCGCCTACTTCGAACACGGGCGGCTCGTGGTGACGGTGGCCAGGGACCTGACCGGATGCATGAAGGTGGCCCACAAGATCATCTCCAAGTGCCAAGAGCGATTCGGAGCCATGGTCGACGTGGTCACGGAGCACGTCAAGCACGAATCGTGGGTCAAGCTGCACGAGCACTCCAAGCAGGCCCGGAGATTGACCCAAAGATGAGGAGGAGGAGGACGAGGAGGAGAAAAAAGAGGAAGAGTGAGGACGAGCTTATGTGAATCCAGTCGAAGCCTCTCGGATGGGCCTTGGGCGGATTCGTGGGACATCGCGGGTGAGAGAGTTTCGTGGGCAGCTGTGGATATCTGCAGATCGAGGCAATGAAGCGTGGTCACAGCGTGGCGGCGGTGAGGAGTCTCACAATTCACATTTTTTCGTCTCATTGCTCCGTCTGCCCCCCCCCTGCCCGTTCCCTTTTCTGAGCGTGCCCTGCGCCATGTGTGTCAGTGCCTTTTCCCAGCCCTCTACGAGGGCCAGCGCGCTACAGGCGCACCTGCCTCCCTCGCAGGGACGCAGGCATGTCGCTGCGGCGGCAGCTTCATTCGCCTCTTCTCGAGGAGAGGGGGAATGGAGAAGGATAACATACGGCCACGAGTGTGCTTTTCCCTGCCCTCCCTGCGCATACCACCTAGCTTCGCGGCGCGGCCTGGTCGGGGGTTGCGAAGCTCGTTTTCCTTTCCAGTGGCCAGGCGCATCTGCAGTGTTTCTCGGCGGAACAGTTGCAGCGCGCAGGCTCGCGAGAGCACGTGCTGCTGGCTCCGTACTTCAGGCACTGGCCGTGCAGGCCTTCTGTGTTGCATCCCGCTTGTCGTGCTGCGGGCCTTCGGCGCATGCCTCGCCGCGACGGTTGCGCCGCGCCCCTGGACCCCCAAGACCATGGCCTCGAGCCCCCATCTGTGTCCACCCCCGCCTGGAGCCTCCCAGGCCACCTCCCTGGCCGCTCAAAGGAGACCCCCCGGGGGCCCATAGGGCGCAAGGAGGAACGAACAGGGTCCAACACAGCGACAATAATATTCATCTCTGTATATACACGTACACATACCTATATCAATATACATGCATGCATGCATACATACATGTGGATATGCATATACATACATACACACATACATATATTCACACACACATGCATACATACATACATACATACATACATACATGCATGCATGCATACATACATACACACATACATACATACATACATACATACATACATACATACATACATACATACATACATACACACACAGCCATACATACATACACACATACATACATACATACATACATACATACAATCATACATACATGCACACATACATACATACATACATACATGCATACATGCATACATACATACATACATACATCCACACATACACACATACATACATGCATACATACATACATGCATACATACATGCATGCATGCATACCTACCTACCTACCTACCTACCTACCTACATACATACATACATACATACATACACACATACACACATATATACATATATATATGTGTGTGCACTCATAAACTATGCGTCCATGAGTATGTGTATATGTATTTGTATACTTGTAGGTATGCGTTACTGGAAGTGAAAATATACATGTAAGTGTACACCATGTGCGTGTGATCGCATATTATATGTATAGGTTCGTATCTGAATATGCATCTGTATATGGATATTGATATGGATATGTAACTGTAAATGTATATGTATACGTATATGTATGTATACTTATATGTGTATATGTCTATATGTGTATGTGTATGTGTGTGTATACATATGCGTACAATCATACATGGACAGGTGTACGAACGGGATCAGCATCTGCCCAAAAAGTTGAATTGACACTGACGCAGGGGGACAGCGATTTTTTAAACCACATGTGCCCCAAGGGCTGGTGGGATTGCATGTCATTATCGTTGTGGGCCTGTGCGCATCCCCGTCCGTTGGCAGGCGCACGGGTTGGGCTGCTTCGCCCCACTGCGGGCAGCCTCGTCCACAACTACCACCGCGTACCGCTTGCGCGCATTGATCTGGACAGAAAGACGGCCCAAAGGAGTCTCCAAAGGACCCCCAAGGAGGCCCAGAGAGGCCTGCACGGGCCTTGGGGCACTCCGCTTCGTGCCAGAGGCACGGTGGCGGATGTATAGACTTATGCAGATTGTACCATACGCACCTCTCCGATGGCATAATTAGACCTCAGAGCCGATTATCTGTCAGCGTTCGGAATGATCTGGCTGGCTCGCCTGGAGCGTCCTCAACACTGAACATCGGAGGCGTCCTCACGCAGATCCGAACGTCATTCTCCAAAAAAAATCGGGATTCAACATTGTGTTAGACGCGAACACATTCACACTTGTGTTGAGCGAGTTTGCCATAGAGCGGCAGGCTCGGGCGAGCCATCAGCAAAACAAAGCAAGCGTTCCGGCGAACTTGTTTTCAAGTTTGCCTCCTCGGATGCAGGAGGTGCTCACGATGGTCCACGAAGGCTCCAATGTAAACCAAATGGGCCTCCAGAAGGCCTTCAGGACGACCCAGGAAGCCTCCACGATATTCCAAGGGGTGCAACTTTCACCAAAGATAACATGAACAATGAGCAGAAGAGGAGGAGGAGACAGGAGCGAGGAGTACGAGGCGCGAGGATGAGGATGATGATGAGGAGGAGGAGGAGGAGGAAGAGCAGGAGGAGGAGAAGGAGGAGCAGGAGCAGGAGGAGGAGGAGGAGGAGGAGGAGGAGGAGGCAGAGAATGGGGAGAGGCAGTACCAGCATCGAGGAGGGGGAGCGAGGATGACGAGTGAGACTGAATGTGGTTCGCCGAGAGCCGATCATTGGTGTCGGAGTTCGCACGCTTTTCTCAAGGGAGTAGAGCTCGCACGCAGATGCCGACCCAGACATGATCGCGTGGTCACAACAAGTCAGGACGGGAGGTTTTTGGCCGTTTTCGGCCCCTGGGTGCCTTTGCCAGGCCCAGGACCGTCAAAAAACGATTCAGTGTGAAAAACGGGCTCTGGGAAAAGGGTCGGGACTTCCAGGGATCCCGTACTGAAAACATCAGGACGTCGCTGGGGACGTCATGGATCAACAGCCTTCGTAGGGCTGCCTGGCCCTTTCTGGTGGGTCCCCGTATCTGCTCTTACCTCGTGCAGCTGCTCTTGTATGGGCCTTGTCACGGCTGAGCCACTTGTACATGTATGGGCGTATGTATGTTCATTACATGTCATGATTTGGTATATGTATTTGAGTCTACGGGAGAGAACGCTCTCGCGGATGCTTGCCTAGTGAAAGTGCGTAGACACGCCGGAAACCAGGGGATGGGGGGGCAAAACAGTCGAAGCGCCCGGAGAGGCCGGGAGGGGACACCCCCTGGACACTTGCCGCCCCCCCCCCCCCCCCCCCTTCCCCAAGGGAGGCGGTGGGTTCGAATCGCCCCTCCCCTGTCCAATGAGAAAGGGGGGGATTCAAATCGGCGCCCCCGCCGGTTCGAGCCCCCACTTGAGGGGGGGGGGCGGTTCGAACCCCCCCTCGCTTGCAATTCAGGGACCCCCTGGTTCGACCCCCCTTCCACAGAACGCGCTTTTTCAAGTATACACCCACGTATTTATCATACGTATTTATGTCTACGCGCATGTTTGCTCACGACAGTGTCTCCCTGTCCCGTTCTCCCCTGCCCTCCCTTCGATTCCCCTCTCCTGCCCCCTCAGCTCCTCTTCATTCTTCTCCCTGCCCCCTTTCCCCCTCCCGCCCCCCACCCTCCAGGCTGCTCTGTCCCGCGCCGGCCCACGACCTCTGCCCCCACCCCCCCCGCTCTCGAGGCGAAGATGGCGCACGGTGCTGAGGTGCCAGAATACCAGGCCCGCCCGCCGGGGAGAAGGAGTCGTGGCGGAGGAGGAGGAGGAGGAGGAGGAGGAGAGGAGGAGGAGGAGGAGGAGGAGGAGAGGAGGAGGAGGAGGAGGAGGAGGAGGAGGAGGAGGAGGAGGAGGAGAGGGAGGAGGAAGAGAGAGAGGAGGAGGAGGAGGAGGAGGAGAGGAGGAGGGAGGAGGAGGAGGAGGAGGAGGGAGGAGGAGGAAGGAGGAGGAGGAGGAGGAGGAGGGAGGAGGAGAGAGGAGGGAGGAGTAAGGAGGAGGATGAGGAGGAAGAGGAGGGGGAGGAGGGGAGGACGAGGAGGAGAAGATGGAGGGGAGGATGGGGAGGAGGAGGAGGAGGAGGAGGAGGAGGAGGAGGAGGAGGAGGAGGAGGAGGGAGGATGAGGAGAGAGGTTGTGGTGGGACGATGCCATGGGGGAGGTGCCGTGGTCTGATTGCTGGCCTCCCTACCCCAGGGCCATTACCCAGGGAGGCTTAAGAGAAGAAATTGGGAGGGGAGGACTGGAAGGCCTGAGCGAAGGAGACCTTGCCCCTCCACGTGGCCCTCCGCCTCGCGTCCTGGTCACGGGGACGTCTCGCCTCCTCGGAGTCGTCTCGCCTCCTCCTTTGGGCGGCGATGCGCTCGAGCTGCGCACGGGTGAGGGAGGGGCGGGGAAGGGGAGGCGGCGGCGGCGGAGGAGCAGGAGAGGGGGAGCAAAGAATAGCTTCGGCCTCGTGTTCTTCCACCAGGTCCGGTGAGACAGGGGGAAGATGGCCCTCATCAGCCGGAGTCGGGTCACCAGCTGGGTTTGGCCTTCTTTCATGGGTGGGAGATGGCGTCGAAGTGGGATCTGGATCACTGAACCTATGCATCTCCGGGTCACATCTCATGCCTTTCTTCGTTGCCTGTGCAAAGTCGGGAGCTTCCACGTATTCATCACACACTTCCCTGATGTAAAAATCGAGGAGACCCTGCACCGTGTCTGGGTCCTCCTCCGCCTGCATGTCACAGTCGTTAATGTCAGCATACTGTGCTCTGCTGGCCTCCAAGGTAGCACCCGCGATGTGTCGGCACATGTTTTGTTCGGGAGGGGGGGGGTAGGTCCTCTTCCTATTTGTTTTGAAGTTCCCTTTGGAGGGTCTTGCCCTGGAGGACCATGTGGGAGCCTTTGGGATGGGTGCACTTGCCGTTGTTTCCAGCACTGAGGAGGCGGGCAGCAAGCGTAGGCATACGTAGACCGATGACCCTGGCAGGATCTTTGCCTATCTCGCTGGGGCCCTGGTGGTGGCGAAAGCACTGGTCAAAGTCGGCAGTGTAGCATACTGGATTGGAACAGATGGCCTCAAAGGGCTCCCAATAAAAGCTGCTTGGGGGCTGTGGGCGCCAGTACGGAGGGAGAGGATGCTCCATTCATGCGCTCGTGCTTCCTGCCATGTGGCATCCCATTTAATGTAGCATACTCCACAAGAGCTGGTTGCCGACATCTAGCTGTTTAGACTGTCGGTCCGTCACCTGCGGAATGCCCCAGAACCACTCGTTGGTGCGCAGCGGGGGTGGCCCCCGTCAAGCCCCCCCCCCCCTTCCCCCCATTCCGCCCTCCTATCCCCCCTCCCTTCCGCCCTCCTCTCCCCCACTTTCCTCCCCCCCTCCCTCCCAGACTCTCCGATGTTGTGCTTCTGTTGGCAGCCTGGCCCCCCGAAGATCTGGACCACTTTCCCCAGGAGCGGCTGTTGGCCCTGAGCGGTTTCGTGGACAGTCCCCAGGCCTCGCGAGGGCCCCACGGAGGCAGAACCAGGAGCACAAGACGCCGTCGTGATCCTTTGTCAGCGGGAGCAGGCGGGGGCTCCTCCCCCCCGCCCTGCAGGTCACAAAGATCCCGGACGGCATCCGCATCCCCCCGTACGCGAGGGAGAGTCTGCCGACGCTGGAGTTCCTGCTCCTGTGGGAGGACCGACCTTCTCGGGGGATGAGCCGTGACAGCCGCCAAAAGGAGGGGGCATCTTTTCCGCCCCGCATCCAGAGAACAGAGAACACGACACATCTGCGACCACTTGCGAGTCTTAATTACCCCTGCAGGTCCGCTCCACGCTGGGGTGTCTGACACCCCCGTTAGGGGGTTACATGGCGGCAGGCGTATTTTTGTTGTTTCGAATGCCGAGCCCCAGCCGACGTTGTTCCGGAGCCCCGACGTGCAGGGGGAAGGGTCACATGTGGTTGCCCACCACAGTTGGCACTAGGGTCAAGGACCGCCCCAACTTCGGAGGGGCAACCTCAGGAGGTCTTCAGTGTTTGCCCCCCCTGGTTTCTTTCGGCGGGGCATAATACTTGGCCCTCCTCCTCCTCCTCCTCCTCCTCCTCCTCCTCCTCCTCCTCCTTGTCCCCCTCCTCCCCCTCCTCCTCCTCCTCCTCCTCCTCCTCCTCCTCCTCCTCCTCCTCCTCCTCGTCGCTTTGACTGACAGAATGGATAGGCGATCGTTGCGTCCTCCTCCTCCTCCTCCTCCTCCTCCTCCTCCTCCTCCTCCTCCTCCTCCTCCCCCTTTTCTATTCCTTCTCCCCCCCTCGCCTCCTGCTTTCCAGTGCTCTTCCAGCCCTGGTATCTGAACTATCTGCGCGTCTCTCCACGTGCTGGCTGCTCCCCGTCCTGCTCCTCCTCCTCCTCCTCCTCCTCCTCCTCCTCCTCCTGCCCCCTCCTTTCCTCGTGCTCCTCCTCCTCCTCCTTCTCCTCGTGCTCCTCCTCCTCCTCCTCCTCCTGCATCCCCTCCTCCTCCTCCTCCTCCCCTACTCGTCCTCCTCCTCCTTCTCCTCCTAATCCTGCTCCGTCTTCTCCTCCTCCTCCTCCTCCTCCTCCTCCTCCTCCTCCTCCTCCTCCTCCTCCTCCTCCTCCTCCTCCTCCTCCTCCTCCTCCTCCTCCTCCTCCCCGGGTTCTCCATCTCGGAGTTGGCTTCTTCTGGGGTGTCTTCGGCGGGCCGTGGTCCCTCGGCGAGCGGGGCGCCATGCTCTCGACGCACGCTCCGGGGGCCACGGCTCAGCTGACGGATGCTTCGGACGGGGCTGTGGCGAGGACAAGCCCGTTCACAGAGCGTTCTCGGAGCGTTCGGAGGGGGAGGCGGAGGAGGAGGAGGAGGAGGAGTAGGAGGAGGAGGAGGAGGAGGAGGAGGAGGAGAGGAAGGAGGAGGGGAGGAGGAGGAGGAGGAGGAGGAGGAGGAGGAGGAGGAGGAGGAGGAGGAGGAGGGGGGCAGCTATCCCAGAGGGAGGCGGGCCGCCTGGCGAGTGGGCGGAGGGCGCCCCGGGCCTGCTGGCGTGGCGGTGCGAGGGCCGCCCGGCAGGCGGCGTGGCACCCGCTATCCTGGCACGCTCCGAGATGGTTTGGATAGTTATGTTTGTTCCTTTAGTTTTTTTTCTTTTGTTGTTTTTGTTGGCACGCTCGGGAACGCTCTGAGAAGGCCGCGGTGCCCCAGACATCCTGCAGAGCTGCCGCATCTCATATATATATATATATATATATAAATATGTGTGTGTGTATACACACATGGTTCATGTCTAATTCCTCGACGGTTCTTTGATTTTTTTGGGGGGCAAGATCCTAATTGTTCTATCCTGGGCCTCTTCCCGGCCACTAGGGTGCCATGAACAGTCAGAAACGAGCACAATCAGAAATGAGCACGATCAGAAGTGAACGACGTGTAGTCTTCTGGTCGTGTGTGGGGGGGGGGGCTGGGTTGGATTCCTGCTTCTTGAGGGCCGCTTCATTGCTCCGGAGCGCTGAAAACTCCCCTGGCAGCCCTGGGTGGCCCTGGCGTCTCGCGCGGGGTCCTCCGCCGGGGAGCGAGGTCCGCGCAAGCCGTCGAGCCGAAGGGTATCGCAGTCGGCCCAGACCACTGGAGAGCTCGGAGCCCTGTCGGAAGCACAGAGCGAGGAATCGTCATCGGTGTGCACGCCAACGCGCCGAGGCCCGCGCGGATCTCGCCCGCCCTGCGCGCCAGAGAGAGGATCCAGCGCCGATCCGAGAAATCCTCACGCACGCCCGACAGTCTACGTGTATTCCGGATTTCGTAATAAAAGGGAGGGGGTCTCATTTCGGGGGGGGGTCTCTGTCCAGGCTATCCGGGAGGCCTGTTGAGGCCTGAGGCCGATGTTTGGAGGGTTCTCCCCACGGGGGGGGGTCTAAACTTCTCGTCGGGAGGGTCGAGACCACCCCTTTTGTTACGAAATTAGAGGGAGGGAGGAGGGAGGATGGGAGGGAGGTGGAGGAGGAAGGGGAGGGAGGGGAGGGAGGAGGGAGGAGGCCTGTCGAGGCGGGGCGACGTCTGCCCCCGCCCGTCCGCCCGAGGCTGTGCCACGGTGGCCCCCCCCTCTGTACTCGTGTGAATCAGAGCGTGAAATACCTACGAGGGAGGGAGGGAGGGAGGGGGGGAGGGAGGGAGGGAGGGAGGGAGGGAGGGAGTCGCTTCCAGGCAAAACCAAGCCATACCACGCGCCTCCTCACCAAGCGGCCTGACCAGTGCAGGCTGCAGTTTGGCATCGTCTTGGCATCTCTTGGAAGCGAGGGTGGTCAAAAGCGAGGTAGGTTTGTTTGCCCCCTAGTTAAGTCGGGCACGTCCCTCTACAGGAGGAACCTTCAAACATAGTGAAAGCATAGTTTTGGGACGATTTTTGGACCATGTTGGACAATTGCTGGGTATTTTCTGACTCTCGTTTTCGTTCACAATTCCCCTGTAGGAGAACACGCCCGACCTGATACTAGTGCCGGCATGCCTGTGTCGTCGACACTGTTGCCCAGTATCCGGACGGCGCAGTGCGAGGCAGGTCTGTCTCGCTCCTGCGATGTGCGCTGCATCGCTCGAGCTGGCTCTCGCCCCCGCGTGCAAGGGAACTCGTTCGTGGTGTGTGATCTCTGCGAGCTGGCTTCGAGCTGTCGAGTCCACAAGGAGGACTGCGGAGTGAACACGTTGCGCCAGGGGATGCCCCAATGAGCTGTCCGTGCGTCGAGCATACAGCCAGTGCTCTGGTGGTGGGCGAGAGCCAAGGGTGACGAATGCGGCTTCCAGCGGTTTTTGTTGCTCATTCTTTCTTGTTTTCGACCAGATGCTCTCGATGACATGCGCCCCTCTACATTTGATCTCTAATTTCTGCCCTCCACTCTCCACCCTCCGCCCTCGACTCTGTACCCTCGCCTCTTCAGTCTGGGCTCTCTACTCAGTGCTCTCTGCTTTCTGCACTCTGCACTCTGCCCTCTGCGCTCCTCTCCGTACTCTCTACTCTTTGCTACATACTGTGAATTGTCTACTCTCTATCGCTGCTCTTTCTCTTCAGTCTCTCTATTTTTTTCTCTCTCTCTCTCTCTCTTTTCCTTTCTCGCCCTCTTGTTTGTTTCTCCGGTCTCTCTCTTTTCCTCTCTCTCTCTCTCTCTTTCTCTTTTCCAGAGTCGTGTCTGCTCTCTCTGCTTGCTATCGCATTCCTACTCTCTCTCTCTCTCTTTGTCCCTCTCTCTCTCTCTTTCCTCCCGCCTCTCTTTACCTCTCCCTCTCTCGTCCTCTGTTCGGCTTACGCTGGAAACCCGTGCACGTGTCGCCCACTGGACTCGGCGGGAAGCTCTCACCCAGATCCGGAGACAGGAACCTAAGTCCCTGGCCGCCCGCGGCATTCCCGCACACTCTCGCTACATCCTCGCAACACCAGGGGTTCGTGACCGAACCAGGAACCCTGGAACTTCCTCCTCCTCCTCCTCCTCCTCCTCCTCCCGCCTCCTCCTCCTCCTCCTCCCGCCTCCGCCTCCTCCTCCTCCTTCTCCTCGTCCTCCTCCTCCTCCTCCTCCCCGCCTCCTCCTCCTCCTCCTCCTGCCTCCCCTCCTCTCCTCCTCCCTCCTCCTCCTCCTCCTCCTCCTCCTCCCCCCTCCTCCTCCCCCTCCTCCCCCTCCTCCTCCTCCTCCTCCTCCTCCTCCTCCTCCCGCCTCCGTCTCCGCCTCCTCCCATCCTCCTCCTCTCTCCTCCTCCTCCTCCTCCTCCTCCTCCTCCTCCTCCTCCTCCTCCCCCTCCAAATCCTGGGGCCCGTGACCACACCAGGAGCCCCAGAGCCTGGCCGCCCATCGAGATCGGCCCGGCCCGATCACCGAAGCCGTGCCGCAGCCGCGGGGGCACCTCGGCGCAAGCGCGTCTCTGGGAATCGTGGGAGGAGGAGGAGGAGGAGGAGGAGGAGGAGGAGAAGGAGGAGGAGGAGGAGGTGGAGGGGGAGGTGGAGGAGAATGAGGAGGAGGAGGAGGAGGAGGAGGAGGGCCATTGGCGCAAATTCATGAAGTGATACCGGAGGTGCCCCGAGATGACTTCAGTATGGGCTTGCAAACTGGCAGCGATCGGATGTGCTACAGGGGAGACTGGCAGTTTCTCGTTGACCCAAAACATGGCATTGGGGGCAGCATTGACACCAGAGCCAGACCAGGTTTCAAGCTGGTCAGGGATGATGTCTGAGTTGATTCGGGGAAGTGTGAAGCCTTGGCGGACGGGTGATTTGTCACAGGCCGCCACCGCTGCGAGCCATTTGAATGCTAGCCAATGAGAATGCACAGCGCGGACGCTGTCGGCGGCACTGCGTGTGTGTGTGTGTGTGTGTGTGTGTGTGTGGTTTCACGCTTACTACATATTCAACCTAGTCCTACTCGAAGGCGCAGGCGGGCAAGGATGGCCTCGCATTGGGTATTGTGAAGGCTTTGCGACTGGTGCCGCCGACCCTGGAAGACGAATCCCATGATGAAGGTGACAGCCCGAGTTGTTCGGGAAGTTTGGGATCAGATACCCCGAAGAGTTCCCCTGAAACCTCATCACGTTCCCAAGAAGCGTATGACGAGGAGCACAGTTTGGCCAAGCTATCTGCCTATGTGCGTTCGCAGAAGAGGAGGGGAATGAGGAGAGGAAGGAGGATGAAGAAGAGGAGGAGTGGCAGAAGCAGGAGGAGGAGGAGGTTTAGTAGGAGAAGGAGCAGGAGGAGGAGGAGGAGGAGGAGGAGGAGGAGGAGGAGGAGGGCGAGGAGAACGACAACACGGAGGAGGTTCATTGTCCATAGAGGGAAGAGGTCCAGGGGGAGAGAGGAAATTTGCGGTGGGGTCGCCCATACAGGGGGATCTTCGTAAGGAGGAGGAGGAGGAGGAGGAGGAGGAGGAGGAGGAGGAGGAGGAGAAGACCTCTTGCGAGCCGTTTCGGGGCTTTGAGAGCCTCCTCAGGCTTCATGGCGGCCTCGTGCTGCCATCCCTGACCGTCTTGGATGCACCTTGGAGCCATTTCGGGTCAGACGGGTCACATTCGCCGTCTTTCACGACATCTAGGATCGTCTTGACGGCAATGCAGCGCCATCCCTGACAATCTGGGAGTCGAGCTTGGTCGCCTCTTGGAAAGATCTGTGGGAGCTCTCTGGGTGCTCTCTTGGGGCGCTCGGGCGATTTCAGGCCCCTTGTGGATCGAAGACGCCTTCGGCGAATCACCGCCGCCCCCTGCCTTTTTGGAAGCGCCTGCGTGGCCGAAAGTTGGGTTTGAGCTCGGCCAAGCTATCGGGCCACGCGTTCCCCGAGTGGGTTTCGAAAGCCTTCGGGGAACACGGAGTCGGGCGAGCTATCGGACCAGGTGGTTTCCGAGCTTTCGGGCCTCCTGGAGGACGTCTTGGAGGGGTCTTGGGCCGTCTTGGAGGCTCTGGCGGGCCTTTTGGGCAGTCTAAGTCCATCCTCAGGCCATTTGGGGCCGTCTTGGGTGCATCTTGGGGCCATCTTCGCCGTCTTGGAGGCCTTCTTGGCCGTCTTTGAGGCATCTTGGAGGCCATCTTGGCCGTCTTGGAGGCCATCTTGGGCGTCTTGGGGGCGTCTTGGGGGCGTCTTGGGCCGTCTTGGGGTCTTGTTGGGGCCTTCTTGGGGGCCTCTTGGCCTGTCATGGGGCCATCTTGGAGGCCTCTTGGGCGCTCTTCGGGCGATGTTGGGGGCCTCTTGGGCGGCCGTCTTGGGCCGTCGGAGAGCTGAAAAGAAGAAAATGCCAACATCTTCAAAGACCGAAGGACAATTAATGATTTTGGCCTCTTCGGGCTCTCGTGGAGGACCTCTTGGAGGCCTCTTGGAGCGTCTTGGATGCCTCTTGGAGGCCACTGGGGCCGTCCTGGGCCGTCTTAGAGGTTTCCTGTGCGAACTTGGGGGCCTCTTGGGCAGCCTTTGGGCCCAAAAGACTGCCCCAAATCCGGTTGCACATGTTTTTCCTGCTCCAGATGGCTCCAAGATGGCGTCCAAGATGGCCAAGATGGCCCAAGATGGCCTCCAAGTTCGCCCAAGATGGTCCGAGATGGCCTCCAAGACGGCCCAAGAGAGTCCCAGATGCCTCCAAGACGGCCCAATACGCACTCAAGACGTTCCAAGATGGTCTCAAGATGGCCCAAGACTGCCTAAGAGGCTCCCGAGAGGCCTCCAACATGGCCCAAGAGGCCTCCAAGAGGCACCCCAGGAAGACGCGAAGATGTGAACATCATTGTTTTGCGTTGTGTGTTTGAAGGATTTTGGCATTTGCGCTCCTTCGGCTTTCCGACGGCCCAAGTGGCCCTCAAGGTCACCCCAAGATCGCCCAAGAGGCCTCCTGGAGGACCTCTTGGAGGCCTTTTGGACCGTCCTGGGCCATCTTGAGACCATCGTCGGCCGTCTTGGGTGCATCTTGGGCCGTCTTGGAAACATGTGCAAACCATCTTGGGTTCTCCCGGGGCCATCGTCGCTATCTTGGAAACCATCTTGGCCGTCTTGGAGGCCATCTTGGGGCCGTCTGGCACGGGAAGGCCGACGACCTGGAGAGTTTACGGGTCCTTATTCCGTGCCGGCGGGACGGGCCGAAGCCCCAGGGGGAGCTCTAAGAGAACCCAAATCGAAAGGATCCAGCACGCCGGGCACCCTTGTGGCAAGCTAGCAAGGGGCGGCGGATCTCGTGGCCCACGGCCCATCCCGTCACCGTGCCTTGGTGTGATACTGCTGGGGACCTTCTGGGGACCCTCTCGGAGCTCTCTCCGGGCTCCATCAGAGGCTTCTTGAAGCTCTCTCCAGGCTCTCTGAGTCAAAAGTGCGCGACGAGGGCGCCAAGAGTCTCCAAAAGGCCTAAGAGGGCCCACGATGGCTCCCGAAACAGCCCGCAACTTGGTGTGGAGCAAGAAGCGGACAAGTGATGGGGACAGTATTTATGCCAGCTGATGGGATACCAGGTGGCCACAAGCCATGGGCGGTGCGGCCAGCGCTTCAAAAGGATCATGCCTCGGGACGCGAGATGCCAGCGCGCTGGTCGTCCCGCGCAGGCAGTAGAGGTTGGTCACGTGTGCTGCTCTGTTGGCACTGTGCTGGCTTTGAAGCCACAGGTTCTCTGTCGAACAATTCAGTCATTCAGAGAGTTCGCCAGGGTGTGATGTGTGGAGGCGAGAACCCGCCTCCCTCCCGGCCGGCGGGGGTGGCAAAGTGGCAGTATGCACTGGCAGGGAAGAGGATGGGGGGGAACGGTCGAGGGGGAGGGGGAGTAGGCGCGGAAGGTGCCGGGGAAGCGCTCCCCCCCCCCCCCTCCCCCTTCCCCGAGGACGCGGCTGGGCAGACCCGAGGCCGCCGCCAGAGCCCCTCGCCTGCCCTGTCTCCTCCCGCCTCCTCCACCCCTCCTCTTCGCCGTTCCCCGTCGTCGTTCGCCTTCGTCGTTCATCTTCGTCGTCGTCGTCGTCGTCGGCTGTTGTCTTTTTCCTTTTCTGCCTGGACCTCGTGGCCCTCCCCCGGACGCGCGCGGGGCCAACCTACAGGGCAGGTTTTAATACATTGGATTTTCAATGTAAAGGAATTTTAGTAGTGATTAAATTCGGAGTAAATTAATGCATAAACTCATCCTTGTATTTATCAACCCTTACTTTCTAATACATGGTCCGCACGAGGAGCATGTATTAAAACCGGCGCTGTAGAATCCTGGAATCTTCTCCATTCCCACCCACCCCAGAGATCCAACGTATTGAAAAAACAAGGCGCCGTTTTTTCTTCGCCGTCTTCGGTTTCTGGAGGCCCTCGCCGGGCCGCGGGACCGTCGAGAAATGAGTCAGGATGAAAAACAGGCCCTGGGGAAGGTGTCGAGACGTCCAGGGACCCCGTGTTGGGGGGTCCTCGGTCCGTCCATTCCGTAAAGACCATGTTGTTCGCCGGGGCGGGTCGATTTGCCAGTTGCGCGTCGCCAATTGCATGCAGGCCTTGTTCAGCGTACTCTTCCAAATCGTGCGTTCGAAGGTAATGACCAGTCGGGGGCCGCCAGATGCTGTTCATGTTGGTAGCGTCGAGCAAGTTTACAATGTTGCATTCGGAGGTCTGACAGCCGGCCTGCGATCGCACAGCACTGCGGTCCGCGAAGCTCCAGCAGGAACGTTTGCTCAGCGTGTCTCGCACCACGCTTCGGCGTGACACGCTGACCACGTCCTGGTTTACGTTGCATGGTCGGGGGACCTCGCCTGTCCCCAAAATTGCTGTCTTCTCTCGTGCCCGACGCGGGCTCGATGCGGACTCGACGCGGACCTGGCGTGGGTCCGACGCGGATTCGACGTGGATTCGACGCGGATCTGACGAGTCCGACATGGATTCGACACGGATTCGACGACGCGGATAGGGGCGCGACGGGACAGACGAGGTCCCTCGAGAAAGCAACATCGGTCCCTGGCCCCCCAGCACCAGCGCCCCGAGCTTCTTCCCCGCCTCCCGCCCCGCGGAGCGGAGCGGCACGCTCTCTCCGCTTGCAGGGGGCCTGGCCGTGGCTTGTCGGCGGGCCGCCGCTCGGCACGCCACGCCGCGCGCGAATGCCGGACCGGTGCGCCTTTCCGCACCACGCGAGGCCCGTCGGGTTCGTCGTGCCTGCGGGCTCATTCGGTCGGCGTCACCCCAACCTGCTACTACTATGTGTGCGTCGCCCCCCCCAGGGGCGACGCGCGCACCGAGACGTCTTGCAGTACATGTGTCGTGGCGTGGCGGGGCTTTCTGGGCACACCGCTGGGGAAACGACATGCTCCAACGCTTGCATACTATGTGTTTGGGTCGGACGCACGGCTCCAAGGAAGACAGATAGCATCACGATGTTTCGGTGCGTCCCATTCGAAGATGAAATCACGGCGGAAACATAAACTTGTAGCGCTCCGCGCGGATTTCTTGGATCCGGGCGGGGCCCCCCTCGGCGGCGCCCCGGCGCGCGGAGCGCGCCAGGGAGGGGGGTCCAGCGCGGATCCAAGAAGTCCGCGCGGACCGCCAAAAGTTTGTGTTTATGCCGTTTGTTGTTCCTCTATTCATGCCGCTCTGATATGAAGCTCGAGCTAGTCCATTGCTTCGCACGTATCTGGGGGGCTCTCGGGCAGTTTGGGAGACTCTCTCGAGTGCCCCTTTTGGGGGCGTCCTCGGCCCCGTCTGCAGTCCTGGCACCAGGTGGCCTGCTGCAGAAGGGGCTGGTTCATCATTCAGGTGAGGAACAAACACACAGACACAAGTAATCGTCGACTCCCAGGAAGATATGGGAAAACAGGGGAAGTGGGGGGGAAGACGAACAATCAAGGAAATATGCAGAAATATGGCAAATATGGGATTTGTGTGAACTTATTTGTGTGTCTCTGGGCCCCTGCAATCATGGAGGCTAGGCCAGGCGCCAGGCACGTTACGATTCGAAGTGTCTTCCAGAACATCCGTGCCTCCCGTGTTGGCAACTGGAGCAGGAGGCCTTGAAACTTCCACTGCCGCTCTGGTCCCAGAGGATGAGTTGGCTCAAGCCTGATTTTTTCCGAAGAAGAAGAACAAGAGACGCCATAACCCGGCGGCGCCTCCGGCACCGCCCCTGGCGCGCTCCTCGCGCCAGGGAGGGGGCGCCCAGCGCGGATCCAAGAAGTCCGCGTGGAGCGCCAACAGTTTATCCTGGTGGCGTTTGCTCTTCTTCTAACTTTGCCTTCCCCAGCAGCAGATTTTGTTGATTTGCGATGGGGTCCCTGTGCTCCAAAGGGGCCGAACCGACAACGGGCACCGGCCCGAAGCACATCCTCGTGACCGGAGGGAACTCGGGCATCGGCCTGGCTCTGTGCAAATTATTGGCCACGGGCACCCGGCCTGATTCGGAGTACCCAGCCCCGGCACCACCGCCGTGCCACGTGTACCTCGGAGCCCGCGACATTTCGAAGAAGAAAAAAACGCTATAAACATAAACTTTTGGCGCTCCGCGCGGGTTTCTTGCATACGCGCTGGGACCCCCTGGCGGCGCCTCCGGAGCCTCCGGCGCCGCCCCTGGCGCGCTCCGCGCGCCAGGGAGGGGGGTCCAGCGCGTATCCAAGAAATCCGCGCGGAGCGTCAAAAGTGTATGTTTCTGGCGTTTTTTCTTTTTCTAACATTGCAAAGGGAGAGGCCGCGCTGAAGTCGATTACTGGTGCGTTTCCAGCCGCGGCCAACAACATCGAGGTGCTGCAGATAGATGTTACAGAGGATGCCTCATGCACCGCCGCTGCCGCGAAACTCAAGGCTAAGGGTGTCACTTTATATGCTGTCGTGAACAATGCTGGCTTGGGGCTTGCTCAAGACGACGCGGGCAGTGCAGGTGCAGAGGATATTCTTAATGTTAACATGCTTGGTCCCAAGCGTGTCACGGAGGCAATGGTCGGCTTGATCCATCCTGGAGAGGGTCGGATTGTCAACACTAGTTCTGGGGCCGCGCCTGGGTATTTGAAAAGCCAGTCCGCCTCATTGAAGGCCACGCTGTCCAACCCCGACATTACCTTTGACGAGCTGTCTGCCACTGTCAGCGCGCAGGTTGCAGCAAATAATCTTGGCATGGGGAGGGGCTACGGCCTCTCAAAGGCAGCACTCAACGCGCTGACGCTGATTCAAGCCAAGGCCCACCCTAACCTGAAGGTCGTCAGCTTGAGTCCTGGCTTCATCGATACGCCGATGACGAGGGGCTTCAACGCTCGGCTGACGCCAGAGCAGGGATGCGTCTCGAGCCTGGTGTGCTTGTTCGGGCCGGTCTCCAGCGGCTACTTCTACGGCAGCGACGGCCTGCGCTCGCCCCTCACCATGACCCGCGATCCCGGGACGCCAGCGTACGGAGGCGAGGATGATCCCGACCCGAAGGTCTACAACAAATGAGTCGCTGGTGCTGGAGCCATCGGATATACACCCCAGCGAGCACATACGGTAGAGACAATCCCGTCGGGGTGGGGAATAGAACAGGAGGCCCTGTGATTCCTTCGTTTGTTCGCGATATCTGGGATGTTCTTCGTGGACCTCGGCGTTGCCCAGTGTTCGATCCTGGTTGCTTCATTCATCTTCATACTCGGCCGTATCCCGCGGAGTCGGCTCTTCCAGAGGTGGCTGCAGCTGGGTAGTGCAGCACGCCTAGCAGCAGGCCAGGGCCTCTTGGGGCTTCTTGGGCCGCCCTTGGGTTGTCTTGGGGCTCTCTCTTTGGGCACTGGTGGCTCTTCTTCGGGAGATCTTGTGGCTCTCTTTGGCCAGCCTTGGCTCTCTCACTCACGTTCCTCTAGACGGGCATGCTAATACTGTTGAAGAACAATCGTCGCTCCGTCGCGTGCGCCAAAGAGGAGGAGGAGGAGGAGGAGGAGGAGGAGGAGGAGCAGGAGGAGGAGGAGGAGGAGGAAGAGGAGGAGGAGGAGGAGGAGGAGGCAGGAGAGGAGGAGGAGGAGCAGGAGGAAGGAGGGGAGGGAGGAGGAGGAGGAGGAGGAGAGGAGGAGGAGGAGGAGAGAGGAGGAGCAGGAGAGTGAGGAGGAGGAGGAGGAGGGGTGGGGGGGGGGGGGCGGCGGGGGAGGAGGAACAACCGTTGGTTTGCAGTCGCCGTTGCGGCGCCTGCGCGTGTCGCGCCTCCCTCCGCCCCTTCTTTCCCTCCCCCGCTCCCCGCCCCGGGGCGCGAAGGGGCAACCATTGCGCCGCGCGACCCTCCCAGGGTCTGCCTCGGGGGCAGTGCGCCCCGTCGCACCCAGAGATTTTGATTCCTCCCCCCCCTCCTCCTCCTCCTCCTCCTCCTCCTCCTCCTCCTCCTCCTCCCTCCTCCTCCTCCTCCTCCTCCTCCTCCTCCTTCCTCCCTCCTCCTCCTCCTCCTCCTCCTCCTCTTCCTCCTCCTGTCCGGCCCCGGCCACATTAGTCGTTCTCTCTTGGGCGTCCTTTGGGGGCGCGTTTGGATGCGCTATTGGGAGCCTTTTGGGCTGCTCGGGGGCCGCGCTGAGCCGCCTCGGGGCGCTGACGTGATTGAAAGGGCGCCAGCGCTTCCCCCGCTGGTGATAACGAGGGTGTGTGTTAAGAGCCCCCTCCCACCTCCCCCCTCCCCCTCACGGTGGGGGAGGGGTCGGACTCCTCCCTCGCCACCCCTCGCCCTCCCCATTTCGTTTGCGCGGGAGAAGGCGGAAGGGCGGTGGACCCCCGCCTTTGGAAAGGAATGAGGGTTTAACACCCGATCCCTCCCCTTCGTGGTGGAAGGGCGGGGGGGGGGGCGTTCTCGGGCGCATAATGGTGTTAGGGGTAGGGTGTTCTGGGGTTCGGATATTTGGATTCGTTTGTTGAGGCTAGGGTGTTAGGGTTCGGGTGTTAGGGTTGGGGTTCGGGTGTTTTCGTTGGGACATTACGATTGGGATTAGGGCGTCAGGTTTCGAATGTCACGATTCGGATTAGGGCGCTGGGGATAGAGTTAGGGTCTTAGGGTTAGGGTTGTAGGGCTAGGATGTCAGGGCTGGAGCGTTAGCGTGTTAGGGTAAGCGTTATGGCGTGAGGGCTAGTTTTCTCATGGTTATTGTGCAACTGTTAGGGTGTTATGGTCAAGTGTGTTAGAGATAGGGTCCTAGTGTCAAGGGGGGAGGGGGGAGAAAAAGAGAGAGAGAGAGAGAGAGAGAAACAAAAAAAATAACAAGCCGACAGTTGTCTCACTGGGGGACGGCCCACGAAGGACTAGGGTTTTAGAGTTAGGGCGTCAGGGTTTTGGTGTTAGGGTGTTGGAGTTCGAGTGCTCGGGTTAGGGTGTTGAAGTGTTAGGGTGCGGGTCTTAGGGTTAGGGTGTCAGGGTTAGGGGTCAGGGTTA